CCTAAACCCCTAAACCCCTGAATCCGAAACAAAGCAAACAAAACCCACGAAAGAAGCTAAACCCTAAACCCTAAACCCTAAACCCTAAACCCTAAACCCTAAACCCCTAAGAAGCCTTGAGGCGCTTGATCTCCAGCTCCGCCTTGGCGGCGGCCGCTGCCGCACGCACGGAAGAGAGCCTGGGGGCTGCTTTTTTGGGTTTAGGGCTTAGGTTTTTTTTTTTAAGGGTTTAGGGTTTAGGGTTTAGGGTTTAGGGTTTAGGGTTTAGGGTTTAGGGTTCAGGCTTCAACGAAGGAATAGATCTTAAGTCGTATCAAGGATCCTTCTATTTTGGGACTCAGACGGCGTGGAAGTGAGGGTGTACAGCTCAAGTCGGGTTGGGGCGTCTCGGCTGAAAGCGCTTGGGGAACCCGAAGCATGATGCTTTTCATCACTGGCGCGCAACTCAGCTCATGCATCGCTTCCGAGTAGTTCGACTCCCTCCCACCGCCGCAGTAGCATGGTTGCCATGGATCCCCTGCCCTGCCAGGTCCATCAAATTAACGTGATGAAGCATGTTCATCGCGTCTGGAGCCCGGTTGACGCGCCGGCGCCCCACATGTTCTCCACGCACAAAATGTCAAGAAGGTCTTTTGCTTCTTTCCAGCATTCGCATTGTCTAAACATGAGACTTGGATCAGCACGATTCCCGGAAATCGTCGATGCCGGATGAGCCCTCTCCTTTGAATCAAGATTGCAGACTTGGAGCCCCGACGGACCAAACTTTCAATCGATCGTATCGGTCCGAGTGCCCGCTTGAAGCGCCGGGTATAGTAAATGCGACTAATGGCTATCCACAGTCGCCTAAACCCTAAACCTTGTGTCCTCTTCGCCCGGCCTAACCCTGGAATTGAAATCCTGAACCCCAAACTCTGCCACACTCATAAAGCCTTGCTAAAACCCTATAAACTCCCTCTTGAACCACCCTGCGAGACAGATTCAAAGCCTGAACCTGCGATCCTAACCCTAAACCCTAAACCCTAAACCCTAAACCCTAAACCCTAAACCCTATACCCTAAACCCTAAACCCTATACCCTAAGCCCTACTGAGCCGGAGCACTCGTCCTCCGCGCCATGGAAGGCCGAGTCCCCGGCCGAAGCCTGACCAACTGTCTGGCGCTTAGTAGGGAATGGGGGAATTTTAGGGTTTGGGTTTAGGGTTTAGGGTTTAGGGTTTAGGGATTCGGGTTTAGGGTTTAGGGTTTAGGGTTTCGGGTTTAGGGTTTAGGGTTTAGGGTTTAGGGTTTAGGGTTTAGGGTTAATGGGTTATAGGGACTACTATAAGGGACCTTAAGGGAATATCATAGGGATCCCTTCCCCCATCCCCTACTAAGCACCAGACAGCCAAAGGTGATGGGGTTTCTCCGGTAGTTGACGTTCGGGTTTGCATGGTTCTGGGTTTAGGGATTTGGGTTTGGGGTTTAGGGTAAAGGGTTGAGGGATCAA